GTCTTAATGTAAGTGTGTACTTGTAGTTGACAAGAATGATATTCTGATATTTACTCAACTTTTTGGTAATCATAATTAAACTAAATTATTCTAAGTGTGCTGCTGTATTGGAAGGTATTGACTGCCATGAATTAAAAAAAACACCAGTAGGTGGCGACAAGCGCCTGTCTGAATAAGCATTTCATTAAATCATTCAAGTTATTTGTTCAAAACGGTTGATTCATTAAGAAAATAAGTGACTTGCCGAGTGTGTTTTTGCTGTATTGGCTGGTTTAGGCCAGTAGGTGATTCTCATAATTAAACTATATTGTTTTGAGTGGGTAATCGATAAATATGACACCAAAACCACCAGTAGGTGGCGACAAGCGCCTGTCTGAATTAGTGTTTGATTAAATCATTTGAGTTATTTATTCAAAACAGCTGATTCATTCAGAAAAGACTTAATGAGTGTGTCTTTGTGTTGCTGTATTGGCTGGTTTAGGCCAGTAGGTGGCAACAAATTTCTATCTTAATGTGTGTGTGTGTACCTGTAGTTGTCCGTTCACAGAGCTCAAGTCTTCAGCTTTTTTCTCCAGACTCTGTACCCAGACTTTCCTCTTCTGCCTACAGCGGGATGCCGCAGCTCTGTTCCTTTCCAGAAACTTCCGTCTTTTCTCATCTGGGTCCTCGCTGGTGGTTCTCCGCCGTCGACCTCCTGTACTGGGTGTGTGCTGGGCTGGAGGAGCGGGAGACACCTGCACACCACCACAAACACACAAACAGATTCATTCCTAATGGACTCATTTCACATTTCCGGGTTTCTCAGTAAAAGCAGTCGAAAGTTGTGTGGCAACAGTGTGTGAATATAACCAGCATCTAATGGTAAAAAATTATATCATAAATAAAATCAGTCTGCAGAAACACATTGATTGACATTCTCACTTTGTATGAGTCATCAGAAGGGAAAAGCCCCGCCCACTCGTGACCTTAAGCTCAAATCGCATACTTGTGCACTATTCTACGCCATTTTGTAGTATAAATAGTGTAAGTAGTGCAATCACACTGAAAACTCTAACAATAAGAGCACTTTAATTACCCGGATGATGCACTCATTCAGCTGGTAAAATCAAGTGTGTAATGATGGACACTTCACGCACTCAACAGTCGCAGCTTTGCTCACGTAACGGAAGGGGCGGAGCTATTGGGCGCACATGTTGAATAACTTTATTTATTTTGGATGGTGAAAGCAAAATTCTCCAACGAGAGTGATTATAGCGCCTCCCGATGGTGAATGCGGTTATACTCATGGCAGGTAATATTTGATAGTTTGTTAATTTATTTCACTGATTTGGCGACCGTCAAACGTCATCAGGTAAATGGGTTTTCAAATTCCGCTTAGTAAAAAACATTAGTGTGCCATTTGGGACGACACTACATAGATACTATACTGTTGAGTGTGTAAGTGCTCAAGTACAAAGTGCGTAGTGTATAGTGTGCCATTTGGGACGCAGCTCTCGTCTTGTTTTTGAATCTGCCACTATGCTGACACACAGGTGTTTGTAGCCCTGCCCTCTTTTGAAAAGAGCACAATCTTATTTGAATTTAAAGCCACAGTCATCCAAAAATCAGATTTAAAGAGATTTAAAGAGTTCTAGAACATTATTTGCGGGGTATTTTCAGCTGAAACTCACGCTAGGGATAGCAGAGACTAATTTTACATCTTGTAAAATGGGGTATATATATATATATATATATATATATATATATATATATATATATATATATATATATAAATATGTATCATAAAAAAGTTCCCATTTATGATACATAATTCAAAGAATAGCATTATAAATGTACACATAACATCAGCATAATAATGTAACATAACATAAGTTGTCTTTGTAGATATTTGATCAAGAAACATGACAACACTCTATGGTATGAAAATTATTTCTGCAGTCTACATACGGGTATTTCAGTAGTAGATGTTGCAGGCTGCTGCAGTGATTTTGGGCGTTGCTCTTCAGCTGGAGGCGGGGCTGGAGGAGGAGTTTCACTGGCGGAGCTGCTTTGGATGTCTATTGCGTCGCCATTGGTTACCTGAGGGATCTGCTGACTGAGCGCTGCCTTCAGCTTCTGCAGGTCAGAGACACAAAACATAGCGTTTTAGACACCCTCACACAAATATCAACATGTCAAGAGAACAATGCTAATTCATACTAGGAACATGTTGACAACATGCTACCAACTAGTGTTGTCAAAAGTATTGAGTTTGGCGCCAATAGGCACTAAAATCAGCACTGAAATCGGCACTAAAGTCCATTTCCTGCTAACAATTGAGCATTGTTCAACAGAAAGGACTGTGATTGGCTGTGAAGGTCATCAGTTCACTATAGCTGTTCAACAAGATACTTTCTCCAGGAGAATAGAAACTGTTACAACTAAAAGAAATAAGAATTTCTCCAGAGGAAAATAATATTACAAGAAACACCATAAAAATGTTCTAGTTCTGTTTAAATTGAACTAGCATTAGTATGAATTAGCATGTTGTTAACATGTCTTTATTGTAAATTCGCATGCTGCTAGAAAAGACTTTTGGCATTTGTTAGTAGATTTCTAGTATAAATTAGCATGTTTTTAGCATGTTTCTAGTATAAATTAGCATGTTGCTACTTGCTAGCATGATTTTATTATCTTGCTAACATTCTAATAATTGCTAATATTCATATAAATTATAATGTTCAATGCTCAAAACTGCTAAAACTAAAAGAAATATGAATAAAATATAGGATATACTGTAAAAAAAAACCTTGCTCTCTTAAACCCCACACAATATTTAAAAATAATGTTAAATTGAGTTAGTTTTAGTATGACTTGTATGCTGCTAGCATGTTGTTAACATGTTTCTATTGTAAATTATCATGTTGCTAGAAAGATTATAGCATATTGTTAGTATGTTTCCAGTAGGAATTAGCATGTTTTTAGCACGTGGTTAGCATGTTTCTAGTATAAATAGCATGTTGCTAGCATGGTTTTATTATCTTGTTAATATGTTCATGTTGTTAAAAACTGCTAAAACTAAATGAAATAAGACCTATAAAATAATACAGGAAATACTGTAAAATACTGTCCCATGATAAATAAGACACTAGATTGAAGGAAAATAAATGTATTAGCACGTTGCTAGCATGAGTTTAGTATGTTTTTAACATGTTTCGATTGTAAATTAGCCTGTTGCTAGAAAGATTTTTAGCATCCTTGTATTTATAGTATGAATTAGCATGTATTAGGATGTTGTTAAAATTAGCATGTTTTAGTATAATTCAGCATAATGGTACTAGTTACATCTTGTTACTATGTAAGAATTAATCAATTCATACATAGAAATATTGTGAATTAGCATGTTGCTGCAAAGATTTTAGCCTCTTGTTTGTTTGCAGTATGAATTAGCATGTTTTAGCATGTTTCTAGTATAAATTAGCATGTTGCTACTTGTTAGCATGAACATATACTACAATTTTAGCATCTTATTAGTTTGTTTGTAGTATGAATTAGCATGTTTAAACATGTTTCACATGTAGTAAAAAATTAGCATGTTGCTAACGTAGTAAAAATTCAGATTTTGCTAAAGTAAAAAGAAATTCCTCCCTAACAAATAAATTTTATTGGAAACACTGTACAGATTGGTTATGTTTATTATTTGGCTAATAATCTGACTGTTTATGCACATTTGCAAAGATGTTTTTACAGATAAAGCCAAAACACTGACATTAATATTTTAGTTTTTTTCCATAATTTCTACTTCAATCTTCTCATTCGCAATGCATCATGGGATTGTAGTTCTTTCCCTAATTAAAGTCGTTATGTACACAGTCTTGTCCCTTTCATCTCCTCATATACCTGACTGGATTGTAAACAAGAAATTCTGTCAAACAATGGTAAACGTGACTCTAATTTAGTAATCCAACCACAAACTCCACTTTATGTCTGCGATACGCAACAGACTTCACGCCGACAGTCAAAAATCTGTCTATACGATCAGTGTTCAACAATAAAATTCAGCATTTTCCAGTGTAACGGAGAGAAAAACACGGTGCTTTCTCTCTCTCTCTCAGGGATCAGGAGGCTAAACTACATTAGAGAGAGGCGAGAGCTGAAGATTAGAATAATTAACTTCCGCCGAAAAACCAGAGGCAAGGATTAAAACAACATATTCATCACGGCTTTAAACAGATGCTTCCCTCAGAGCTCTTCCACAGGAGTAAGAGCTGTCGTAGCTAATTCCCTATTCCCTGGAGACGCCTGTGATTTTCTCTTGTCAGGGAAATCTGCCTTTCCCTGGCGAATGCAGCAGAGAGACCTCGCCGCCAAGAGCTTTTCTCCTCACTATGAGCAACCCCCGATAATGACAACTTGATGAGGTTTCAAAATATCCCTTTACTGTACACATATTACATCCGTTTATTTCAATACACGTTGTGAAAAATGCTGGGCTCATACAATGTCCCAACACAAGTCGATTAAGCTAACTTAACCATTTTTACCAATTTACGTTTCCCCACTAAACAAAGTAAGAATTGTGTCGCTTCAAATATTTTCAAATAGTACTTATTTAAAAATAGCTGAAACGAAGCAATTTTTACTTAGTGAGAACGATAAAAAATGCTGGATTACACTATTTCTTCAAGTTGTCATTCTGTCTGTCTGTCTGTTAATATATCTATCCATCTATCCATCCATCCATCCATCCATCCATCCATCCGTCCATCTATCTATCTATCTATCTATCTATCTATCTATCTATCTATCTATCTATCTATCTATCT